CGGCTCAGGGGTGAAGAGGAGGTGAGAAAAGTCTCACACTATCGCACCTGTGCTGAGAAAGTTCTTTTCTTGCCTAGGCTTTTCTCGAGCTAAGTTTAGAGGTTTCCACTTCTCATTTTACTCTTATCTATCCTAGAAATGCTTTACTGGCTGTAGTGGAATGAGGAGCGTCAGGCAGAGGCGCGCTGCGTGTGCGTCGCGGAGGTACCTGTGGGAGGCTGGCCGGGGTCCACACTATACAGGGTGTCCGTAAAGTATATATACACTGTTTGATCGTTAATATCTTTCTTCCCAACAAGTTTTTTTTGCCTTGCTTCAGGTGCCGTTTTGTAGAGCTGGCTTCAACTTAGATTTACAGTATGGAGCAAATCACCGATCGCTCTTCATTACTGTAGGGTTACGGTAGAAACTTGAAACATATGGTATCAATGTGGAAAAAACTGCCGTCTCAAAATTTTTCAAAAAAATGTGAAATTGTGTAATAGGATTTTTATGGACGCTGAGTTCAATACTCAACTATTCGCAAGATTGCGAAGTTTTTTAAACGGTGTAACCGCACTTTTTAGGAACATCGAAAAAACAAAATGGCCGCTACCTCTAACCCGGCATAACTCTTCAACGAAGCATTATAATAAGTTGGGAACTTTACAGTCAGAATCAACAACTTTAATTAGCCTAGTGTAAAAGCTTTCAGGCTGTTTTGTTTCCTTTCTGAGGCAAAATATGGCCTTTCATTCCGCCTCTTTGAAGTTTCTACCGTAATCCTACAGTAATGAAAAGAGATGGGTGATTCGTTCTATACTGCAAATCTAAGTCGAAGCCAGCTCTACAAAACGGTACCTGAAGCAAGACAAAAGACTTGTTGGGAAGAAAGATATTAACGACCAAACATTGTATACATACTTTACGGACACCATGTGTATATAATCTGTTGGTGCATAAAGCCTTCCCACTCTAAAAAAAAGTCTTGCCGCGACCCACAAAATTCAAGCCATTGAGGTGGCGGGTGGAGCAAGCTAATAGTAGATATCTCCCCCCTCCCCTCCCCCAATTTTGGGTCACAAGTTTTTTATCCAACAATCTTTATATTAGGTCATCCCAAAAGTTTTTTCATATTCGTACCTTCAAAACGATATTTCTCTAACTAAGGCATCTAAAAGGGTGAAAATTTGTGGAAATATTCTTGAGTGAATAAGCTATATAATGAAAGATTTGCGAGGAACATTGACTCATTACAGGCAAAGTTCAAAAATTAAGCGCTTTGTTTTTTTTCTCAATTTCTAGCTATCAGAAAAATGCAGCAAGTGCATATATATATGTCTGATGGTGAAAATATATGCGTGAGCAAGTGGGAACTTTGCAGAATGTTTTTGAACTAAGAAACGATTTTTTTTTTGTTTTTTCGGAATTTAGGATTTTTCATTTTGTCTTGAATCTCGATGCGCATCAAGCCTGGTACGAACTTTTGAAGGTCATATTGTAGAGCTTGCTTTGCTCTTTCGAATGGTACTCCGCTTCTCATCAGAGGTCTAAGAATAGCAGACTTACGCTGGTGAAAATTCTGATATGAAAAAACTTTCGGGATGACCTACTACCATTAGAAACTCACAAAGCGGAGATCCGATGTAGATTGTCTCTTATTTCCTAGCGCCCCTCTACTCGGAGATCCATGCATTTAACCTGAACATGTGTGTGTTTGTAAACAAATTTCTACGCAAAGAGTTGATGAAGTTGCCTAAATGTCTAGCTATGTTACAGAGCAAGACTTTGCCAGTGAACGTGGACCGTCTCTTTTTTATAGCTTTATTTTCCCTTTCAGAAATGGAGCGCAAAGTGATCTCGGAATCAGCTAATGTTGCAACTAGATGAAAATTTTTATATCTGAATTCAAAAGGGAGCTGAAAAAAGAGGCGGCTTACGTCGACTCTTCTCAGATAATCGCCGGGGGCAGGCGGTCCGCAAACTCGCGTTTTCTGCAAGCGGTCGGCAGGCTTTTGGGGCGTGGCCAAACCTTCAGCGAGCGGTACTTCCTTTACTGTCTAATGTGCTGCCAGCGGGCAGCAACACAAAATTTTCTGCAGGCGCTCGCCAAATAAACTCTTTCAGCAAACGCTGGCCGAACTTTCAGCAGGCGCTTGGACTCTTTTTACGCAGTTTCGGACTTACGTCGAGCACAGGTAAGACTCTGTGTGGCAGAGGTCATTGTTGGTTTAATTACTCAAGTGTGAGGTACTTTCTCTCAGCGGAAAGTACCTAGGGCTGCGCGGTCCTCCACAAAGGCCGTGCGGCCTTCAAGAATTTTGCATATTCTCGCAGAAAATCTGCGAGAACGCGGCCACTGCGCCGTAGCTAATTTATAAGGAAACCGCAATTGTTCTCCGAGAATTCGTCCAAAATTTCGCTAAAATTCCTCCAAATATCTGCAAGCGGACCGCAAGAAATCAGCGAACAATTTTTCCGGTGCCCGCCCGCCCATAAATGCATGGCCGCCTGCCCCTAGCGATTATCTGAGGTGTTGCAGAGGTGTCATCGTTGGTTTAATCACTCAAGTTTGAGGTACTTTCTCTCAGCGGAAAGTACCTGGGGGCTGCGCGGTATACTTTGTACCGAATCGAATAATTATTTGAGTATTCGAATAAAGTATTCGAATAAATTTTATTCGAAATTCGATTATTTGAAAATTTCAAAATTTCGAATATATTCGATATTCGGTTATTCAAGATTTGTCAATTTCGAATTTATTCGACTACTCGGTTATTCGATAATTCTGATTTTCGAAAATATTCGAACACTCGAATATTTATTACTAGAAGTTATTCAATTATTCGACAATTTCGTGTAATCGAATAACTAAGTGGCAGCGTCACAATTTTGACTACTATATCAGCAACCATCGTTTGTTGTCCAAGTTGCACACTGCATGGAGTCCTTCATTGTGCTAGTTCGATCAAAATTTATTTGAATATTCGACATAATCGATGCAAAATATTCGTTTATTCGGATTTTTTTCTCGAATATATTCGAGTATTCGGATTATTTTCAATTCGAATATATTCGATATTCGATTATTCGACATTTTTGTTTTTCGAAAATATTCGATAATCGATTATTCGACATTTTTGTTTTTCGAAAATATTCGATATTCGAATATTCGACATTTTTTGTCTTTGAAAATATTCGAAATTCGATTATTCGATGTTTTTGATTTTCGAATATATTCGGTTATTCGATTATTCGAAAAAATTCTCGAATATTCCAAAGTATACTACGCGGTCCTCCACAAAGGACTGTGCAGCCCTCAAAAATTTTGCATTTTCTTGCGGAGAGTCCGCGAGAATGCGGCCACTGCGCCGCAGCTAATCTATAAAGAAACCGCGATTGTTCTCCAAGCATTGTCTAAAATTTCGATAAAATTCTTCCAAATATCTGCAAACGGACCGCAAGAAATCAGCGAACTATTTTTCCGGTGCCCGTCCGCTCACAAATCGCATGGCCGCCTGTCCCCGGCGATTATCTGAGCTATGTGTTCCAAACTTTCGTATAGTATCCGGACTGCTCAGGCAATCGCCGAGGGCAAGCGGCAAACTCGCGCTTTCTTGCAGACGGTCAGCAGAATATTGGGGCGTGGCCAAACTTTAGCAAGGTGTACTCCCTTTGCTATCGTATGTTCTGCCAGCGGGCAGCAGTACGGAATTTTCTGCAAGCGCTCGTCAAATAATTTCTTTCAGCAAGCGCTGGCCAAATTTTCAGCGGGCGCTCTAATCTTATTACGCAGTTTCGGGCGTACGCCGAGCAAAGGTAGTACTCTACATGAAAGCGGCGTCAACGGTGGTTTAATTACCCGAGTTTGGGGTACTTTCCTCCAGCGAAAGGTACCCATGGGCTGTGCAGTCCTTCACACAAAACCGTGCGGCCCTCAACAATTTTGCACATTCTCGCAAAAAGTCCGCGAGAATGCGGCCACAGCGCCGCAACTAATCTATGAGAAAATCGCAGTTTTTCTTCGAACATTCGTCTAAAATCTGGCCAACATTTTTCTAAAATCTGCAGCGGTCTGCAAGAAATCAGCGAACTATTTTTCCTGTGCCCGCTTGCTTATAAATCGCATGGCCGCCTGCCTCCGGCGGTTATCCGAGTGATGGGGCATAAAGCTTTCCTGAATCGAAGAATTCTGTTTGATGATCTTTTAAAGCCAAAGCACAGCATTGAGACTCCTGTACCATTTATTCCTCTTCTTTTCACCCGTCCTGCTCGGCATGTAAGCTTACGTCAGCATTCACCTCAAGGCTCATTACCCCTTCATTTTTCTAGACTGGAAAGAGCCGAAACCCCTTCACTTGAAAGGCTGGAAAAAGCCAAAACCCCTTTTCCTCCTTTCGCACCTATCGTTTGGAAGCGTATATCTCAGCCGTTAAAGCACTACCTGAGCTGCCGGTTGGGCAGTGGAGCTAGGGCCCCAAAATTAGTGTCCATTTGAGATCCACACATCTCCTTTGCCTGGATGCTGCCTTTAACATAGTGTTTTGACAGGGCCGGGCGGAGTAGGTACGCCAGCTAGTCTTCTCTAAGGGAAGTCGTGGCGAAATCCGCAAACGCTCAAATTCCGCCAACACCGCGAATCCGCTAATCACGCAAGTCCAGAGGATCCCGAAAATCGCCAATCACGAAAATCCTGCGCGAATGGTTGTGTTCTTACCATAGCTGACTGCGCAGGGGGCACACGGTACAAAATTATAGGGACACAGTTTTATCTTCAGCTCTAGCCTAAGTTTCTTCATATAGGACCGGAAATTTCTGAATGCCATTTTTCGCGTTCGTTTTTGGAACAATCAAATGGATTCAGCGTGACAGTGAAGAAGAGGCAGGAACCTTTAGCACAACCATATCTGGGTGCTGCCTTTGTTTGCAACAAATATGAGTTCATCACAGTCAAGCTTCTCTCAGTCATTATCATTTTATTGTTGGGCTGGAAATTGAGATCCTCAACTTCTGTATATCAGGCGGTAGAAGACGGTGAAAATTATCAAGCAGTCTATCTGTTTACATATCCGCTAATTTTTGGCTGTGATGATCCTAGACGGGTTAATGTGTCAATCGAGTACTTGCAGGAACCACCGCAAGGGGATGTAAGACCTTTATCTAGTGAATCTACTCATAAAAGTTCAACATCTTTTTTATGCAGAGCGATCTATGTCGAACTAAACCATTAGATGATATGATACATGAAGAATTGAGATGCAGAAGAAGACAGGAGTTTTTGCATGAAGAAGACTGGATTGAGGTGAGGAGCCTTGCTTCTATTAGGTCAATGCAAAAATAATGGCCGTTTTGCGAATTTCCATTTTAACGTGCTATAACTTTTTAAAAAAACAACATTTCTGGATGCATAAACGGGCACAAAAATATGGATTGTAAAACAGAAAAGATTTTTTCTGAAACCTCGTCTTTGACAAATTATAACTTTCTTCAAAGTTTGTTAGATAAGTGGCCTATCTTGGCCGCAAGCTATTACAAAATTGGATTAAAAGGGTTTGGAGAAAAAAGTTTGCAAAAAGGAAAAAAAATCAAAATTCAAATTTTCAGTTTTCAAACATTTTTTCAGTATGCCTCATAGCCCCGATCATAAAATTTTCCAATTTTCTGCATACTGAACAGCTGGCATTAACAACAGTTTTTGCAAAAACTGCTGTTAATGCCCTAGCATTACGCTTAAAGAGTTGAGCAAAGCTTTGGCAATTGACCTTTTCAAAAAAAACTTATGGGTTGTGTAATGCTACGGTTCTGCAACGGCTACCCATGTTGAGGCGCCTATATCTCAGTCTAGATAACCTCAAAATAACTGAAGCATGCATAATGTAGGCAATTTCTATTACATGTAACAGCTAAATTTCCGAAAAAGCGTCGTTCATAAGCGCTCGAACACTGGCCATAAAAGTGGATACAATAAAATTCTGAATTTGGATGCAGTTATTTGAAGATCAATAACTTTATAACAGATGAGGACAGAAGCCCTCTTCAACCGCCTTTAGATAAAGCACGAGAACAGCTTTTCAAAGGTATGCTAAATATATTCTAAAGAAGATATTTTGGTGCGAAAAAGTTGCCTTGAAATAGTGTTTGGAAAATCGGCCATTATTTTTGCATCAACCCAATACATATAATGGGTACTTTTTTAGCAGACATTAGAGGATTTTATAAACGAAACTACTACTAACGACCATGACCGGAAGTATGTTTATGCAGATAATTTAGGTTTTACATAGAGTATAAATTTGTTGTGTAATCTCTGTATAGAGTTGTCAGTTGTAGGGCGGCCACATGTGTGAAAATTCTGGTGGGAACTAAGCTGCTGAAGCCTCCTGCTATAAGTAAGTATACAAGCAGTTTCATACCTAATTCATTGTTTGTTAGAAACCGATTCACATATACTCTTCCATTAATTCACTGAAAGCATTTTGCGATCTGAATGTAACTCTAGTTGCTGGATTTCATTCTGGACAAGTAATTATACCATCTACTAAGTCGCTCCAAAAGCCGTTTTTCAGAACTATTTTAGAATTGTTCTTAGGAGTGAACCAAATGCTGAACAGTGTTTCATGAAGAATTTCTTCCTCTTTTTAGCAGTGACTAGCTGGCCAATCCGCCTCCGCCAAACCCTGTCAGTATTACTTTCGTAATCAGCGCACCCCTCTGCCTACTCATAGGTGAAGTTTTATAAAGAAATCGATAGAATTCGATAAAACAAATATCGATCAATGACGAGAGGTAGCCTACGACACCCGCCTATCCCCTCTTAAAGTGTGGGTGTGCCAAATTTGGTCCGAATCGGTCCAAAAATATAAATTTCTATGCGGAGCATATGTAGATACAGTCGAGTAAATTTTCCGCTTAATATAGTGTGCTTGCACAGAAGATGAAATACGGTAAAATTTGCGCGTGAACACATAGCCACGTCAGTATTGCCGGCATTTTGCGCGCGCAATTGGCCGCGTCACAATCTAAGCTATTTCCAAACATAAAAAGGTCATTTCGATCAAACGGACTTCCCTTAGGAAGACAATCGAACTAACAAAGAGACACCGCTAGAAAGAGGAAGATTTTCTGCATTACTGTTTGAAGCATTTGCCTATCATCACTCTGAACGGTTTTAAGATAGGTCCGAAAAACGGCACGGGCAGGACCGACCTGGTATAAAGTCATTTATTCACATCACAGGCAGTGCCTGAAGATCATGTAGACCTCTACTCCTATAGTTACTGCAAATAGAGACATACACTTTTTTCCTTTTCTGGCTTCAAGTCCAATTTCTTTTCTTTCATCAGGGCTCGGCACGAGGTGGCTAGTTGAAAATGCAACAAACAAAGTTCCCCTTGACTTTTGCCAATTTTTACGAGGTTCCCTTGACCCTGACCATAATCCCTAAAAAACCTCCGAAAAACGAAACGTCGACTAAAAAAAGAGCTGCAAGCTTTGTTTTTTCAGTCACAAAAACGAAACCCCTTTTGCTTTTTGTCCCAAAGACGATATCCAGCTTGCTTGTAAGCCACCTGCCGAGCCCTGTCTTTCATTGCAGCGTTCAGGCAAATCTGTACATATGGGGTCTCACATGGACAGTAATTTTGAGTACGAGGAAATGGCCAGAACTTAACCCAGCCATTCCAAAGAAGCTGTATATCATCGGATTTATCTTAAAACGCTGGTTTCAAATATGGGTTTATTACCTGCCGAGCGACTATCTAAAAGGAATTATGAGTGTTCAAATACGAGAGATCTTCGTGTTTTGACGAATATGTTTGAAAGCAGCCTGATAACGCGGATTTACAGTGGCTGTGGTTAATTTGATTACAGGGAAAAAGCACATTCACTAAAAACCTAAACTGTTTTTAAAACGTATTTCGTGGAACATGCGCCTCAGAACCAGGGCTCTGCACGAGGTGGCTAGATAAAAATGCAAAAAACGAAGTCCCACTTGACTTTTGGGAATTTTTACGAAGTACCCTTTGACCCTAAAAATTCTCCAAAAAAACGAAACGTCGACTAAAAAAAAGTCGCAAGCTTTGTCTTTTCGGCCACAAAAACGAAACCCCTTTTGCTTTTTGTCCCAAAAACGATATCCAGCTTGCTTGTAAGCCACCTGCGCCGAGCCCTGCTCAGAACACTTTACAATCGCACATCTAGACGCTCATAACTCCTTCCAGACAGTTCGAATGAGATATTCGCTCCGTAACTGAACCCCAGCACCGTATTAAAGGCAGCGTCTCGGCAGAATGAAACTACCTCAGATTTTGACGCAGATAGATAGGAGGCTCTTCAAGTGAACCAAAACAACAACTGCGCGCCGAAAATGCAAGCCAGGGAGGCGGCCCAACAGCCGCTCCCCTTCCTCCTTTCGCTCCCCTAACACCTTATTCGGACGAGTGTGTTCTCCGCTAGAAAACGCGCCGTCACTCGTAGATTCGTAGGGCACAATTGTTCTAGCGTTCTCTACCTCCTTACTCTGTGTCTCTGACGGCAGAGAAAAACGGCTCACTCGTCCGCGCCCATCTCAAGGGGGGGGGTATCAAAAGACGGGGTTTTCCCCATTTTCGCGCTAAGGGGAGTTCATGTCGTGGTTTCGGAAGCCGGAATAGCCCCAAATCTGCCAAAACCCCGAAGTTGGAAATCTGCCGAGCCGTTTAACCTCACGAGCTCGCGCCGTATGGGCGGCCAGCAAAGACCTTTCAAATATCGTCGGTGTGTGCAGTTGTACGGTCGTCAAAAGCCCATCGTACAGGCGACGTGGCGCGCACGGTTAATAATACTCGCCACTTGTGCGGCGAAGGTCGCCCGCTCGCTTGCTGTTGGAATTGAATATCTTAAATTAGATATCTCAACCAATTTTATTTGAATTATCTTAGTCCTGTTCACATTCTGGGGACAATTCTGCAACAGTGTCCAAACCCTATATAAGGAAGCCCGCGTCACTTTTGATAACTAAATCATAAACTGTCACATACTCAACCGAGCCTTGCTGGTCAAGGACTGTTGATCATTCCACTGACATCGCTAAGGGCAGCCAAGACACTGCGTTGTATCCCACGCAAGTACAGTTTGTACTCACAATGTATGAGGATTATGGGGAGACGACAAAGGTCACTGTTGGCTGCTTACAAGACGACCGGTATTGCCGACCGATCAGACGGACACATTGTTGATCGCGTGCTCGAGCAAATGTATTGCCAGCCGGTAAACTGCCTGCAGCTTTGATGGCACCTTGACTATTTGCCGCACGCACGGAAGCTTCAGGTTTGTGTCGACCGCTTTTATGCCCTGAAATTTTTGCGGGCCCATAACCCCATGATTTTAGGAAAAGGAGGCGTATTTTTTCACAAGGCTGAATTGAATTTTTGAAAATTTTTGAATGTTATATTAATTACTAGATGGCTTACCCGGCTCCGCCCGGCCCTGTCATTATTTTATTCGTAATCAGCATGCTCGATTACCCCCCTGTACCAACTCCCAGCCCCGTAGCTCAAATTTTGCAAAAAATCGATAAAATCGATATCGATCGACGACGAAAAGTAGCCTATGACACCCGCCGGGGCCCGAAGTGTATGTGTGCCCAGTTTGGTTCGGATCGGTTCAGAAATGGAATTTTCTATTCGGAACATACGTACACACAGACATACATACATACAGACAGACAGACAAACAGACATTCAGCTTTAGATATAAGATTTACAAGTATAAACAAGTCGCTTGCACAATTTTATAAATTATACGAGTAGCTTTCAAAAATCTCGCGATCCATTCTCGGGAGGAGGTGCCCGAGAGGGCTTAAAAAAATTTTGAAATTTTGAAATATGAAAACTAATCAACTATTTAATCAAAACTAATTGGTTGACAGAAGAGAGATATACGATGAATGGTATCCTTTGTTGATGGTCTGCAGTAATCGCGGAATGGGAGATGGTCCATGATTGCAACTGTATTACTTACAATGAAATTACGATCGTAAAGGTGCTGCAGCTTTTCTGTGAATCCCTTCCTATATCAGAAGGTATTTCATTAGAGGAAAATTGCAAAATAGAATTGCTTTGATGATGTGATAAGATAGCCACAGACACGCTGATTGTATTTTGTTGCGGCTATGACATGCAAATCAGAAACTCAATTCTGTAACTTTTTTTGCTCAACCTTTGGTACCAGCGCGTGCCAAAGCAGCAGCAAAAACTGAATTCGGCGATAACAAGTGTTTGCCAAAGTCTCATACTTGCATTTGGATGGGTTGAACAGTTCCCGCCAAGACTGAGATGCCCGTTCAAGGCTGAGATGCAGAGTCGCTACGGAACCTTATGACTTAAACTGTGGCAACATGTGTACTCTGCCGTAGAGCAGGAAATAAAACAGCTGGAGAGGCCCTCTCCAAGGTAACTCAACTTTCTAACTGTATTCCCTGCTTCTGATCAAATGGGCCTCGCACTTGCGCGATGGATTGTCTGAAGGTTTTACTTTTACATGACACTGAAATCCCAAAACTACCATCTTCGCGGACACTAAATTTAACCAGAAAGGTTGAAGAACGTTTTGCAGCCACGTACAGATGCATTGCCTTAGCTGGAGAATTGGTTTCCTCGTTTGGAAATCTCGTGCTGTGAGGGTCAACAGCATACTCCGATCGATCTATCTGTTTTCACAAACTTTACCCTAGCACTTACTTCTTGACAGTGTGCTTGGTAGAGCTGACACATTAAAGGCAGCGGCTCGGCAGAATGACAACTTTGGAATATTCATCGTTCTCGGTTACCCTGGATGAGCAATCCAAGACAGTGCTTTGCAGCTTCAAAAGTACCAGTAACGCGCTTTCCAAGCGTCAAAAGTGTCAAAAGTGCTATTTGGGCGGACGGTGTAAGCCTGCCCTCTGGAGGCGTTTTCAAGGATGGAGACACCGTACCCATATCGCCGGCAATTATTGGCTCCAGCAGCCACTTTTGCGACCCGCAATCCACATAAACAGCACTTTTCGCGTTTGAAAAAGGGGTTATTGATATCTTTGCCGCAAAGCAAAGTCTTGGACCTAGCTCATCTAGCGGAACCGATAACGATGAATATCCCAAATTGTCATTCTGCCGAGCCGCTGCCTTTTATGGTCCACTCTAGTCCAAAACAACTTTGATCTTCTTCAATTTCACAAAAAAAAAGGCGCACTATTATTTTTTTTCAAAGAAGCAGCTCGGACGCGACAAGGGCTGTGGTGGTTCTGGGGTTTTCGTTTGGAGGAGAGTAAACAACAAAAATCTGCAAATCTCGAGCATTTCGAAGAAATTTTGGTATGCGTTATAAAGCAATCTCCCACCAACTTTGCATCCCTGTCTTTATTTCAAAGTCG